GATAATCCTCCAGAGTAAAGTTGCTTAATGGGGTCCTCAATTCTTTCAGACTTTTTTTGTCTGCATATAATGCAATGTTGCTACTTCTTATAACCATTGAAATATGAGGCAATGTTTTTAACCAAGACCATTCTATCATGGAGATTGGAGGAAGACAATCCTTAACTGGCACAGTTAAAAATGATTTTAGAGACAGTGATTTGTTGATTCCCTTCATCTTACAGCTGGGGAAACTGAGGGACAGTAAGGTCATGGAACCCTGTCAAGGTCAGGCCACTAGCTAAATTCTGGATCCCAAGCCTCCTGCCCTTTGGGCCAAGGCCGCTTTGCCTAAAGCAGCAGAAAACCTGCAGAATAGCATCAAGATGGCCAGGTGGGAGACAGTGCCATCCATCTTAAAAATCATTCTGGCTTCTGCCAGCTGATGAAGGAAATAAAGTTAATGACGCCCACATAAATGGGATGCTGTCTCAGGACGCATACACAGGCTGTCGGTAGAGGAGCTCTCCGGGCCCTCTGAAGGAAAGAGGTTTTTAATGTAGCTTTAAAGAGAGCAGTGTCTCCCTTTTCTGCAAGGACAGGGACCATGGCATCTGTTACCTCTGTGTCCCCCATAGAGTGCAGAGTTTCAGAAAAAACACATAAATACATGATAAATAAATGCTTAGCGAAGAAATGAAGGCAGTGTCAGTGCTGAAGCAAATTCATTCTGAGCCTTTGTGGGTTTGGGCCTCTGTCTTTCATAAAGACCTTATCCCAGGCTGGAGACAACATAGGGGTTTGGGGATCAGTCATTTGGGTTGATTGGTAAGCAAACGTAGTCCCCATGATGCAAAGAGTCTTGTCAAAGCTATGCTGCAGGATGGCAGCAGAGCTCACTTTAAAACGGGGGGTTTTCAAATCCTAGCCTCACTACTTTCTCCACTGCACTATGTTTGCAACCTCTTTCATAGTAAGTTGGTCTCAAGAACAAATTCCCTAGATATCCCCTGATAGGTCATTACCAGTTTTGCAAATTCGCAGAAGTTATGTGCCAATTTATAACTCTGTTTACCAGCCTAGGGGCCTTATCTAAGCTATCCTTCAGGAATATAAGATGTAATGTTTTCTCTTACTCAAGGTTCCTAAGCCCCCGGAAGAGGGTAGACTGACAGTTCAATTGGCCCTGGTGCAAGCTTGCCCAAGGAACTTCTTTCCAAAGGAAAGAAGTCCTTGGCCCATTTCAGAAGCTCTTAAATGCTTTCTGCAGTGCCCAGAACACAGTGGGTAAGATTTGAGGGAAAATACAGCTATGGTACCGGGAGGAAAAGATCCATGTGGTCATCTGTCCCTCCTGGCCAGCTTGAAGACTGGAAGCCAGAGTAGGCACCTCAAAAGAAAAGTCATTTACCTTTCAACTGGGTGGTTTTCCAAGACCAAGATATGAAACAATCTATTTGTCATGTTCCTCTTGACCCTAGTGTGAATAGAAGCATCTTTCCTTCAAGGTTTTAGTGACCTTTCTTAACAAATGAGTGCCATATTCAGCACAAAGCCCTGTGCAAGGAAGCATCTACTGGGATGGCAGATAAAAGTGGCACATAAAGAAAAGCTGATAATCTTTTGGGAAAACCACCCAATGGATTAGATTTGGTTTATCTCCTCTACCTTTTTTCCCTTTGCAAACATGACCTAGGTCCCTTTTTGTTTCATTGGGGTGATTTGTGGGATTCATGGCGGGCATTTTCTTAAGGAAACTAGACTTTTCTCCTCATTATAATTAGTACATCAGAACAGCAGATTAAATAGTTGGTCATTCTATACCAGTGGTTCTCAACTGCAGACAATTTTTGCACTCCCCATCCTGGGATTTTTAGCAGGTTCTGGAGACATTGTTGATAGTCATGACTGGGGGAGGGGGTGTCATGGGGGCCACAGTATTACTACAAACATCTTACAATGCACAGGACAGCCCTCCTAATAAAGATTACCCAGTTCAAAATGTCAACGGTGCCGAGACTGATAAACACAGTTATATGCTATGAGTCTATTTGAATTACTCAGAGGATAAAAAATGTTGGGGTATTCCTGAGCCCTTCCAGCCATAAGCTAGAAGGTAAGGGTTCTGGAAATCAAAGCAAGTTCCCTTTGGCTTGCAAAGGAGGTTTGAAAGGAACATGCTTCTACCATTAAAAAACATATCTTTGCCTATTATTTTTGACCGGTCTGGATATAAAGCCCCATCTCCAACTGAAACTAAAGAGACAAAATGTAGGTTATTGAACTCTTGAATGTCACTCATGGTTTTTAGAACCATAGGCTTTTAAATTACCAGAGCAGGAAGTTCAGCCAAATCACCTCATTTTACTTCTGGGGTCACAGTTGATGAGCACTGCAATGCTGTTTGTCTCCTAGTCCCCTATGTCTCTCTCCCCTTCAGCTCTTTAGAAGGCCTCGATGTGTTCTCTGTGTTGCCACCATATGAGATTTCTGCCTCACTTCAATTGCTGTTTTGTTTTACTGTTTACTGTCATTATGGCCATTTTGCTGGTGATGTACTAATGCAGCAACACCTCTGTTATTAATGGCCTTTCATTTTCTAGCCCCAAGATTTCCCCAACAAGGTGAGCAGCTGGCATCATTTAATCTAAGTAGTACCTGGGTGCCTGAGATGATTGGACTGGCTCATTCCAACATGGTTCCTGTCCCTTGGGGGAGAAAGGGTTATTCACATGGAACCTGCTAGGGAGCTGCCAGTCTCCATTTACCCTCACATACAATTCTATTGAGTCCCCAGATTTTAATGCTTCTGTATTTTCACCTAAAATTTTAAAAAGTGAGAGAGTTAGAAATGAAAGTGCCAATGACACAAAGACAATACTTTCCCTCCTTTTGACCTTTTTTTCCAATTTCTCTGAAAAAAAAATTGCCGAGGTTATTTCCCTAGTTCAATTCCTAGTTTCATTATTTTATGTTTCAGAACATTTCTGAAACAACATTTACTCCTCAGATGATGTAGTCATTCCTCTCTTTTGAAAGTGCAATGGTACCAATCCCTTCCAAGCTCTCCAGAGTCATGACTCTTCTTCCCTTATAAACACAGAATCCCATACACATTGTAGCTCAGATATGCCTTGACACATGTAGGGGAGGAGATGTAGAGTGATGTTTCCTGATGGCCACCACCAGTTTACTTAAAGAATTAACACAGTGGATTCATAACCTTATCAAAATGATTACAATGCAAACCTTTTCAACCGTGTCTCCCTTTTGTGAAAGACAATGTCAGGGAGAAGAAAATCAAACGTATTGTTCATCAGGAAAAAAGGAGTCGTGGGGGGGGGTGTGCTTGGTCCTATTAATTTGTTCTTTAATCTTTCTGGTTCAGTTCTGTCTCAGTAAGCCAAACAGAGAATCAATTTGCATACAAATGTTACCAAGTACCCCACCTCCACAGCATTTTACAGTTCTATATGTATGTAGAGGAGAAAGGATTTGATATTGTTAAGAGGATATACTTCCTGCCCCTCCTTCCATAAAGTAGCTACATTTCACTACATTTCACAAGGCCCTGGATTGTTGGACTTTTTCATTCTATCTGACTCCCTGACTATTTGCATTCCAAGCTGTGGGCAGGACTATGGCCTATCAAAGAATTATTTGAACTGGAGATTAAAAGCTTTAGCTTTGGGTATCTCAAGGAATGAGGGGGTCTTTTCTCCATTTCAAGAGAAAGACATGAAGAGAGGTTCACATATAGACCCTTATAATATGGGGTTGGGGGAGGTGTCATTCAATTAATAAACCAACTGACAGGTTAGTCAAACCAACAATTCATATGCAGAATTCTCCACAATAATAAAAGGAAATACGAGAATTAGTTGCTGGTTTATGATGGGAGAGAATAATATTTGGTGGTTACTTATTTTTAAAAATAACCGAGAGTGGGCTTTTCAAATGTCTGTTAATACAGTGCCATGATAAAACATGAGAGGCAGGTATCTAAAATGAGGAAGATTAATGATCCCTGCGGGTCATGGAAGAAGAATAATTTTTTTCAATTCATATAAATGGAATTTATCATAACCATCTCTGACGATGGCTGATTCACCCACTTACAAAAGAACTATCTATTTCAATCCTTCCTGAAGAGGGTGATTTTTCACTTTTCACTTGTACTAACACAGAATGCTAAGCCTATAGGCAGAAAATTTTAACCTGAAGAGATAACGGGTGAGAGAACTCAGCTACAGATTCAGGGACAGACAAAAATTAAACAAAACAAACAAAAATTATCCATCAGTTCAGGATCTGCAGCTAACAAAGTAAGAGTTTGGAAAAGGTGAATGGGTGAGAGGAGGGACTCAAAGTTTTAAAAGGGAAATGCTTCCCAGAATTTTTTCCTAAGTAGATCCACTCTGCACCGGAGTTCAGGGCTTTACAACCTGAGGTCATAACATTATTGTTTCCAAGCACTAAGCCTCAGCACACACACCCCCGCCGCAAAAAAGAAAACAACAACAACATAAAAGGAGAGAAAATGAAATGTTCTGTGTCCAGCGAGTTCGAGTGCAACCTTCCCCGTCACCGCTAGTTGTCACTTGGCTCCCAGACGGGAGAGCTGAGGTTTTCGGCACTGCGGTTAGAGAGAATGCAGTCCTAATTAAACTGAGTAACTCCTAAAGCTTCCTCTTAAAGTCCTCAGCTCAGTGAGAGCCAATATGCAGAGGGGCTGGGGGCCAGTGATGAGGCTGGGGTATAGCAGATAGAAGGACATACAAATCACAAAAAACAGGCAAACAGCTGCCAGAGCAGCGACTGTCTCAGACCTCCACGCACAAGCCAGACACCCTGCGGGCGGGGTGGGGTGGGGGAGCGGGGGATGGAAGGACCTGATTGCAGCGGTATACAACAGCCCCTTCCCCCCACCCCCTAAATGAAGGGATAACGGACAGAGTCAGCCTCAGTGCTCTTTTCCCCTATTTCCATTACAGCGATGTGGTCAGTAGAAAATTGCATACCTGAAGAATACAATGGTCTCCCAAAGGTAGAGTCGAAGAGTATTGAAGCTGTACATTTTTCAGGTCCTTGTGCTTTGTAGTCCACGAGTTATGAGGGTAAAAATGTTTCAAATTGGCACTTACAAAACCGGCGAGCGCTATTGAAAAAATAATCCAGATGCTAAGGGGAGGTGGAGAACAGGGGCGCGGAGGGAGAGCCCCACGGGAAATTGGAACGAGGGGGCTGTAGGTACCACGGACAGAGGCAGCCGTGAAACGTTTCAGCACCACGGAGAGCGCCCACCCCTGCTTTTCAGGAGCGCGAAGAGTATTGCTGTTTGTTAAACTCCAGCTTGTCTGTTGGCTCCCTGCGGCGCTGGGGAGGCACGTTTGGGGGTGGGTATATTTTCTTTTTTACTCCTGTTTTTCTGTTTAAACGGCCAGCTCCATGCAAGGGGGAAAAAATCTTCTGTGGCGATCAGAGCGCTGGCCTCCGACCGTTAGATTGGGCGAGCATCCTGGGTAGAGAGAGAAGGGCTTTATGCCCCCGGGCTGGCCTGAGGGGGCTAGGGGCGAAGGGAAGCGATTGACGGTGCTGCCTTCAGTTAAATCCCGGAGAATGTGCCAGGCTGGCGCATCGCGACCGACTCCCGGAATCTCGTTTCCCTGCCTGCGTGCGAGTCTGTTGTCGCCTTGCGATCCCTGTTCTCTGGTCCCCGCCGAATAAGTTATGATCGCTGCAGGAAAGGTGTCCCATTGCTCAGGGCTGCAGGCATGAGAGAGCTCAGGGCAAGTTTCAGGGGCTGCCAGGGTCCATGGCGACCCCGCAGGGCTCAGGAGCCCAAGGCTTCAGATGCATCTCGATTTTCTGAGCTCGCCCATCTTCCTTTGGCCAGGACTCCCTCAGATCTTCAGACTTTCTTACTGCATTAATTTAACAAACTGGCGGCATGGGAGCTGGGAGGAGGGGGCGGGTGAAGGCCGATGGGGGGGGGGAGGAAAAAAGGGGGGAAAAACTCCTTAGTATCTTCAAACCCTCCCACTCGAGGTGCTCATTGGCCCGCGGCTGCGAAAACCAGATCTTTTCTCAGTGTTTGACCAATCGCGTATTAGACGCTGGGTTGAGTTTAACGCTTAAAGTGCTGGACGAGATCCTCGACTCCCCTTTCCTTTGCAAGCGGGCGGTGGGGTGGGGGAGATAATGGAGTTAATCTCTCGAGGTCTCTTAAAATATTGCCTGATATTTAAAGAACGTAGTTGTATGTGAGTAAAACAAACACCTCAGGTCCCAGTCCGGACCTGCCTCTGGGCTCAGCATACCATCTTAAAAGGGAAGAACTGAACCAGATCCCTGAGTTTCCTTAGAGCTCTGAAGTTTTAATATTTGGTATAGAAGTAAAGGAGAAGTTTCAAAAAGATATCTAGTGCATAAAAGACCCCATCTCTTTCCCTGGGCCACTGCAATAGGAAAATACAAGAGAAATTCCTTGAGCACTTTCAAGCTCCAGAGGCAGCAGTCTTGGCCTCACTGCTGGCTTCCTTTGGGGAGATAAGGAAGATATGCTCTCTTCCAATTGGACAGGAGACAGTTTTATTTACATTTCACAAGCTAGGGCAACTGAGCCTAAGAGAGTTGTGTCTTGTTCCAAAATAATGATTGAGCCAAGCTATATACACAGGTATCTAGTGCTTAACCACTCCTGCTTCCTTTTTTTCTCTTCCTCCTGCTTCCCTCTTTCCCATCTTATTTGAGTCTCAGAAACCAGCTAGCTTTACATTTCACTCTAGAGCCCAGCTGGGGAGGTGGAGTTAATAAGATTTTCTCCAAGCTCCCAGAATTTAGTGGATTAATAGCCTTGCAGGATTTTCTGGCTGATTTGAACTGGCTGGGACTCTGGGGTCTCTCCCTCCTAGCCTACCCAGTGGACACAACCCTTTCCTCTTTCTCAGAAGTGTTAGGAACTCCTTCTTTTGAGTTTTTGAAGGCTGATTTCCCCTAGAATAGTTCTTAACAGTTCAGTTCTCGCCAGCCCAGGATTTCTCCCCAAAGAAGCCTAGAAAGCTTTGTTCTCTAGCCTTCTAAAGAGTGTTCTTGTTCAACACTTTTATTTACAGAAAAGCAGGGATTCCCCCAGCCCTACCCCCCCCCCCACCACCACTGTTACATACCCCACATTACTCTCTTTTATTGGCTTCCATACACCGGAACAGTGATGGGCTGCTTAGAATTTCTATGAGTGTCTGAATAGTGACTGAAATGGAAACTTTGCTTTAAAGGTAGCTATTCATGTGAGTTTGATAAAAATTTATATTATCTATCTATCTATCTATCTATCCATATCTAACGCTAACCCTTATTAGCATACTTTTTATGTATCAGTACTAGGGTACCCTTCCCATAATCTCATTTATTTCTCACAGTAATACCTTGAGGTAAATATTATCTTTGTGAATGCATTTGTGTACATGTATGTGTACATTAGCAAGTAGCTTGGGCAAGACAAACATGTGTATTTCTGTATATAAATTGATTTGTGATCTGTAGTCACACTAATTCTGAAGCAAATGTGTGGGACATGTGTGTATTTATACATTTGTGTTTGTAAATCGTCCCTTTCCACAAAGGCATATATGTATGCACCTATTTGTGTCATTTTTGTACCCCTGAAGATACTGAAACAAACTGTGATGTCACAACTTTGTCCTTGTGTGGGCAGGTAGATGCAGCATGTAGAAGTTACCTTTCCTTTTCCTTCAAGGGATGCTGTGTGTGTGTGTGTGTGTGTGTGTGTGTGTGTGTGTGTGTTGCTGTTGTTGTTGTTGCTGCTGCTGCTGTTGTGAGTGTAACTGGCTCCAAGACTTTGAGCTGTACAGGAGATGAGAGTACTTATTACCTGGGGGCACCTGTTTTCTAGTAGGCTTCTGTTTACTAAGAGCCTCTTACTTTTATTTAATCAGCATACATGAAGTAAGAGTGTACTAAGCATTGGGGATATGATAATATGTAAGAGAAACAGTACTTTGAACTTCTGAACATGGAATCACTTTGGAGGTTCAGTGGAAAAAGCTCCTCATGGTTGTGAATCTACACTTTTTACCCCATATCTCATATATTTCTTATGCCTACAAGCGGTATACTTTGATCTTTTTGTCTCAGGTAGGTTAATATTGAAACTGCCTGCAGGCTTGGAGGTCAGAGATTTATGTTCTTTTTTTAATCTCTGCCTCAAAAGGGTTGATGGTATTGGATAAATGACCAAATCTCTTTGGGCCTAAGTCAAACAGGGAGAGTAAGATCCCTTCATCTCACCACAAGAAGCTACATAGAAGAAATGGCATTCAGGTCTAATCTTACTATGACTACCATGCTATGAAACAGAAATCTCAGTGGAATGGGATGAATTTGTTTCAGCAGATGGTCCATTTCTAATAATAAGTATTCTGTGTAGCCTAATTCCAATATTTGAGTGGCCCCTTATAGGTAGCCAGATTCGAACCCTTCTAAGTATGAGTACATGTTGACCTACACTGAGACTTATTTTATTACTCAAGTCAATTCATTCTTTCATTAATTCCACAAATATTTATTGAGAATTTACTATGTGTTAGTCACTATTCTAGGGACTGGGGATATAGCAGAGAACAAAACAGATAAAGATCCCCATTCTAATGGAGTGTATCTCCCAGTGGAGAGGGGCAGAAGATAAAAAAGGCAATTTATGATGTATTAGGCAATCCTAAGGATTAAAGAGAAGAAAGTGGTCTCAGGGCAGAGAGTGATATAGAGATACTATTTTATATAGGGTGGTCAAACCCAGGGAGTGCTTTCTGAAAAAAAGAAAGACATTTGAACCAGTGACTGAAAGAAGTGAGGGAAGAAGACACGTGAATTTTGGGGAGGGGGGAGGGGAAGGGCAGCTTTCCAGGCAGTGCGAAAGCAAATGTAAAGAGTCTGAGAGGGAAATATGCTTAGAGTGTGCAAAAACAGCAAGGAGGCCAGTGTGCCTGGGTGGAGTAAGTGAAGGTGAGAGGGACAGGTGAGAGAAGTCTGGAGGACTGGGGCATACACTACCTCCAGGGCATAGTAAGGACTTTGGGTTCCATTTTGAATGAGACCCACTGGAGAGTTTCAAGCAGAGGAGTAACAAGATCTGACTTAACATTTTAACAATATTAGTCTGGCTACTGTGTTTAGAATAAAATGTGTGGGGAAGGAGGGGGCAAAATGAAAACAAGGATACTAATTAGAAGCTACTGAAAAAAAGTCCACATGAGAGATTCTTAGAGACTGTTCTTGTTCAACACTTTTATTTACAGAAGAGGAAAATTATATCCAGAGAAGTTAAATGACTCACCCCCTAGACTAGTAGCAGAGTTGGGACAAGAATACAGGTACCTAATTATAGCTGAAGGGTCTTTCCACCATTTTTTGCTCCAACTAAGATGAAGGGCATGGGGAGAGAAGGTAAAGGAAATCTACAAAGGAAGGGACTTTACCTGGCTTATTGCTGATACATGTCTAGCACCTGCGCAGTGCCTGGCACATAGGAGAAGCTCAGTAGATATTTCTTGCAAGGATGAATGAGTGAATAAACGAAAGAACAACAAAAAGATTTAGGCAGAGGGCCTGAAGAGAGAAAGAGGAAGAAATAGTGTTAATCAGGTGAGATTATGCAGGCCTGAACCAGCTAATGTAATTAACACAATGCCAAGCCTCTGATCATGATGACATTCACAAAAGAGAGTGCTGGACATCTCAAGACTTCTTTGACAGGCCTCAATGATACTTTGTAAAGAGAGACGGATATTTGGAGCAACTAAGCAGCTTGCCTATTTGTGCTGAAGTATTATGATGAATATGTGTCTTCAAATGGTACTATGGAAAAGCCTTTCCTCCAAGGAGCTGGAGGCTTACTGCCAGCCTTTCCTAACCCAACCTAGCAAATGAACTTGCTATCTTTTTTTTTTTTTTTTTTCAATTGCAAAGCAATTGTACTTTAAAGAAGAGACCTCAGAACTACTTGGGAGATCTCAGTGGCACTAGGAGAATTTTTAGTCATGAGGGGTGGATGCATAA